AAAAAAAAAAAAAGAATGTCTGCCTTAACTATTGTGCTCTTTTAAAGAATGACCTAAATGGGATCAAATTGACAACTGTAACACAAAAGGTTAGGTGGCTTAGGGGGCAATGAGCTTCTTTGTGAATAGAGGAGGATCGATTTGAAAAGGGAGGAAGAATGTAATGAATGTCTCTTTACATGCAGACATTGTTGAATGTTCTGCCCTTTATAGTTTGTACACAAACAAAAATAAATAAATTTTGGGGGTGGGGGCGTTGCAAAAAGAAGTATTAGGTATGCTTGTAAAACTACTTTTTGTCTTTGGGCCAAGGGATGATATATGTCAGTTAAATGTTCGGCTTTGGGGTATTTCTAATGAGTAATGATGTAGTTTAATGGGCCAGTTAAGTTTACTCCATTTCAGGATCAGACATTACTCCCAATCCTAGTGCTTAAGAATTTTCACAAAATGTTTAAGATAATTGACCTAATCTAATCTCTACACTCTCACTGAGAAGTGAACAAATGAGGCCACATTTTCAGGTGACAAAAAAGGTGGTTCAGCAAGGTTAAATGACATGTCCAAGCAAGAGCTCAATAAAACAATCCATGTAGAGCAAAAATGTTTGGCACAAAGCAACTATCCAATAAATATAGCTATTACCATGCTATAAATAAGAAGTAAGTGAAGGAGCCAGAAGTAGGCATAGATCGTATTCCTAACATTACAAAGATGCTTTAAGGGAACTCATTGAAGCAATTGTTTTTTTTAAATCTCTCAACAACACAAAGTGCTTGGGTCAGCTGAACCATCCATGAAGCATGAAGGAAGCTATTTATTACTTTCAATTTTTAGAAAAATATATGTTGGTCTGATATGCACTGGTAACTCTGAAAGAGGCTTTTTCTGAATTTTCTCAGATAGCAACGCTCAAATAGCTTGCTGCACCTCCTAGTAATACAACAAGAAAGAGCAAAGCAACCACAAGTCTGTAGTCTGAATCCTCAGACTTGATCATGTGTTCCTTCTCAGAAAGGGTGCTCCGATTGTAGAATTAGAAATTAAATATTTTTTTTAAATAATGGGCTACAACTCAATAAGCTTATTTCTAGAGAGGACAATCTGAAAGATCCACACTCCCTCTAAGCAACAAGCCTCTCTAGCAGTTCACAAAGGTGGGATAGCTTGGTGCACACAGGGGACTTGAAATGGTCACTTTGCCTGACGGTGGGTGACGCCTGTGGACGAGCCTCTTTGTTTGGACAAGGCTTCTACGGCTTCAGAGCTCGTGGGTGATACAAGCTGTTTTTAAAGTGCTGAGCTGCTAACTGAAAGGGTGGAGGTTTGAGGTCATCAAAAGGCACCTCACAGAAGGCAGGCCTGCTGATGATCTGCTTCTAACACCCCAGGGAGCACAGTTCCCCTGCCATACACAGGAAGCTGCGTGAGCCAGAGATGACTCCGGCAACGGGTACGGGAGGACTGTGGGTCTAGAAACCGTCAACCCTAACTGACAATGAGCACTGTCTTAGGGTGATGGCAGCGAGCAGGTTGCCCACTGGAAACCAAGACAATTATTACAATTTGAAATACAGGCACAAACATTATAGAATTATTACAGGTTATAAAGGTGGAACGAATAGAGACGGGAAACTATTTTATAGAGAATCATTTATTTTTTTAATTTATGAAGTCCAACGTAGTGCCTGCCCATCGTCTTGCTTAGGGGACCAGAAAAAACAATATGTATATGGCACCATTTCAAGGCTTTATTATGGGGCAAAGCTTCTCTCTTATAAAAAGTGAATCATCATCTCCTATGTATTTCAATAGATGGTTTCCAAACTCAGTTTGGAGAAAAGTATTGTTCTCATCAACACTCCAGTCTAATGGCAGGCTCCTCTCCTAAATTTATCTAAATGAAAAAGTAACACTACAAGATTAAGTCTCTTACACAGATGATTTCCTTATTGATAGTAAAAAATACTAGTTCAATCAATTTTAAGCATACCTTATAATTAATTAATTAATTAATTTTTGTAACAACCAGTAGCTTATTTATTATTTATTTTAGATACCAAAAAAAGGCTTACAATAGATAAAATTGGGGGGGGGGCCCGAGGAGAAGAAATGAGAAAACCAGTTTCAAATGTGCTACTGCCTTTGGGTCCATTCCAAACAATGGAAGCCGGCTGAGCGTATGTTTGGGGCTGCTAACCACAGGCTAGCAGTTTGAAACCATCAGCAGCTCCTCCAGGAAAGAAGAAGATTTACACTCCCTTAAAGAGTTGTCACCGTGAGTTAGGCATTGGGCCGCTGACAGCAAGGTTTGCAGGCAGCTAGCCAGTCTGTTGGCACTACCGTCTTAGAAACCCTAACTAGGGTGCGATGGGTCAGAACCCACTCCCCGGCAGTGAGGGAAGATTGTGCTGTACAAACAGCTTGAGCATGTCTGCTCTGGAAAGAAAACAATTTTCACTCAAGAATCCAAAAAACATTTCAAAGTCAGTCCTCAAGTCAGTCATATCTCTTATATCTTTATTCCCTAAGTCATTTAAATTTTGCCATCGACACCCTACATTTCCTCACAAGGAAGGACGTTCTCCGCCAAATGCATCAAGATCATCCTTGGGAACAGGCAACCCAGTAGATGCTGATGCTAGTCGAGTTTGCTTCTATGCTATTTAATAAGCTTGCCTAACAGGATTTTAAACAAGTGATGTACATTTTCTTATTTATTTAAGCATATTAAAATGCCTTTGTTCACTTTGTGAACCCCATACCCAATGGAACTGCTGCATTCAGATTTGGTAGTTAATATAATCCGGTTAATATGTTAAAAAGAACTTGACACAGAAATTATTAATGGGTAGAACAAGGTCACTACTTCTAAGCTGAGGTCACTTACAAAGAATGCACAAATGAAATTAAGGTTGGCTTTTATTTACTTGACTATCTTCTTACATTGGATTCCTTTGGCAACATATCTTTAAACATTTAAAACCCTGTTTACAAGAAGGCTCTGAAAGAAGCTTCAAACCATTATGCCCCTAATTGAATTCCCCAGGAGTCCAGAAAACTCAGAGGAATAAAGAAAAATCATAACATTTGCTAAATCATTTCCAAACATATTTCACTGCAAGGTTATGTGACCTGTTTTTTTGAGGTTGAAAGATGAATGAGAAAATATTGCTGAATGCTTCATTATTTACACTAAAATAAAAAAGAAGTTTACCTATTAGTGGTAAGCTAATTAAATCAGTTCAGTTTTTTCTTATTTTCCAAGAGAAATCAGACAATGAACAATAACATTTTATACTGTGTGGGACCACTTTCCCAGAGCACAAAAGCCGTCATGGGAAGGGATGGATCTTCGACCACAGCCTTTATCCATGGTAATGGTGTGAGAGAGAATGGACAAAACATACTCCCCAGAGAAAGTAGCATTTCATCTGTGAATTCAGAGCAAATACAAGTGGAAGAAGCAAAAGCAAAAAGGTTTGGGTTTGGTTTGTGGCACCAATCAGTTCATACTCTATCCCTGCCCCTGATTCTAATTTACTTGAAAACAAACCTGTATGATCTTTATAATCATATTCCACTTGTATGTTCTTGTGTTTGTTGTGACTGCTGAGTAAAAACACACAGATCGTAACATTTCCACAAGTATGTTAAAAAAAAAACCCTTTCTTACCTGGTTTGTATGTTATTCCAGGGGGGAAGAGGAATCCCTGTTGGGCAGCAGCTGCTGCTGCCAGAGTCCGCTGGTCATGTGGAAAAATTGGGATCATGAGCGGAGGCATGTGACCCTGAACCTGCTAAACAGAAGAGAGCCTATGATCAGACAGAGAGCAAATGCATGACAAGTAGTACCTGGTTTTCAGCCCTGGTGGTGTGTTTGTACCCACGCAACCACTCATCTCTAACCTCATTCCCTATCCACTCCCTGAGAGGATTCAGGCAAATTCCACCAAATCCCACTTCCTAATTCCATTAGCACACCAGGGACAGACCTTCAAGTGACAATCTGCCTCATTCATATTTCCATCAAAGCACAGTTAATGGTGCTCTTTTTCTCTTGTCTTCATTCCTTTTGATCTTCTTTTCTCATAAACAAACAAACCAAAGAAAATGGAGAACAGTGCACTTTGCATCTTGTCTCACACTGTACATTGTTGGAAGGGCTTGCCCTTTCACCTGTTTTGCATTCTGTGGCTTATTTGGGAAATATTATTTAGCAGCCTTGGTCAGAAAATAATGTCTAATTGTTATATATTCCCAAAGCTGCATCTCCCCAGTTCAGGTCTTCCATTTCAAAGGCTCACTGCATTATGTTAAACATAGAACGCTTCAGATTTAAGGCTACTACATCTGGGCTCCCAATTAAACTGATATTCTTTGCCATACACACCTCGACGTAACATATAAATTGCCTGTCTGGCTAAGCAGTTTTACAGCTTTATGCACTACCATGTGGCTCAGTAATTATGGGGTTGTATTCAGAGAGCATTTCATAATAAATCCTACTATATCAAATTTCATTTGACCTCAATAAATGTATCAAAGAGCACAAAAAATGCAAAATAGAAAATCTTCACTCTATATCAGTATCTGTATTCCATATAAAGAAAATAAGAGCCGTGACAGAATCATGCCTATGAAAATCACATTTTAATTTCCGAGCGCCCTCCTGTACTCTGTGTATTCGGCCCTGGCTCCAAGATAGCATCGCAGGATGAATCTTTTTTCCTTTCATAGCATGGTTTTGCCGGTTGGACTGTGGGATTTTTTCTTATTTAGAGATTAAAACTAGAAATTATCTCTAAGTTCAAACGGGGTCTCTGGCCTATTTGCTAGCATAAAGGGGCTGCCTCATATTTGTTTAAGACATAAATCTTTACCAGTAATTCTACTGGCCCCCAACCTTTTCCCTATTTAAATTCCTAAATCTTCTCTTTAGGCAAAATTCCACATTCTGGCTCATGACCCTGTTTGAATAGCACCAACTTGCCTTGTTCTATTCCCGCTCTCTCTGCAGCCAGGGACCTAGAGCAAAAACGCTTCTGTGTGGGTCTGAGAGGTTTCATTTACCAACAGCTTGTCTCTGGGGGAAGCTCTCAGATGTGGGTTAATAAAGGGCAAACAAAAAATAAACACTTTACAGTATTTTCTGAATTCATTTCTCAGGAAAATCAACGTACAATAAAAAGGTCTTTGTGCAATTACTACCATAGCAGTGGGGCGTGAAAGAAACTAGCTTTGGGCAGCTGTTTCTACCATTTTAGCTGAGGTAAGCCCTAGTTCCGTACATGAGAGTACAAACTTAGCTTGTCGCAATGGGAGCTGATACCCTAGTGCCCAGCTCTCGCCTTTAAGCCTGAAGAAAAGCACCAGGCTTGCTCCCTGGTTCCAGTTTGTTGTGATCTGTTGCAAGCTTGAGACATCAAAGATGGCGTTAATGTTCTCTGCCAAGGAATAAAGCACAATGTGTGTGGGGGCGACAACCGTTCGGTGTCTAGGAGAAACACGGCTCTAGCATGCAGAGAGAAGAGAATGCAGATGCTTCACACTTTGAAGGGAAGCACGGAGGTAAAGCAGAGCGGCAGAGCGGCCCTTACTCGCCCTTTGTTTCCTTCCACCAGCACTTGTCACTAGTGTGTATTAGGCTTCTTGCAAAATAACTGGGCAAAACGGGTGATGTTTAGCATGAGATAAAGAAGATATAAGGGTTGCCTTCAAATCTATGAAGAAAGGATGTGTGGAAGGAGAATCAGATTAAGTTTGGATGGTTATGAGATGTAGAAGTTTAATGCAGAAAAAGAATTCCCTAACAGTGAGTTGTCCAGCAATCACTCTGATTAAATTGTTAGTAGTTGCTCTTACTTCACATATGTGAGTCAAGTAATATAGCTATTTATCCTTATGTAGAGAGGCTTGAAAGGAGATCATATGGCTAAGAACCTGAGTAGATGACCTGTATGGGCCTTTCTGATTTTCCAACGTAATGATTTTCTCAAAGGTCAGCATGAAGACGGTTGTATGAAACAGGCATTCCTATGTTCACTCATTCAACACTTATTTTTGAGAACCTATGCCTACACAAGACATCTTTAAAGTGCCGAAAAGCAAGGATGTTAGTTACCTTGAGGACTAAGGTATACCTGACCCAAACTATGGCATTTTCATTTGGAACATTGAATAAGGAAGAGTAAAGAATAAACGATGCTTTTGCTAGTGAGAATAATGAAAGTATCGTGGTCTTAAAAAAGAACAAACAAATCTGCCTTGGAAGAAGTACAGCCAGAATGCTCCTGAGAGACAAGAATGGTGAGACTTTGTCTCAGAATCCTCAGACATGCTGTCAGGAGTGCCCGGTCCCTGGAGAAAGACACCACGCTTGTAAAGTAGAGGCGCGGCAAAAAGGAGGAAGGCCCTCAACAAGATGGGTTGACGCAGTGCAACAGCGGGCTCAGACGTAAGCACAGTTAAGGGATGACGCAGGGCTGGGCAGTGTTTCCTTCGATGGTGCACCGGGTTTCTGTGAGTCAGAACCAACCGGACGACACTGAAGCACAACATGGGCCTACAAAGGCTTTGTTGTCAAACACATCTGAGCTCAACTTCATACACAGCCATTCAAGGTCGGGGGCAGTTATTTAACCTGGCTGAGTCTATTTCCTTATGTAAAAACTAGAGCTGATGATTTAATCTTGCGTGGTTATTAAGGAGATTAAATAGACAATAAAAGTAAACGTATGGCACTGTGCCTGGCATATAATAAGCACTCCGTAAATGGCGGGTTCTTCCTCTTTTCTTATTTACTTTGCATATTTAATTATGAAAAATTATCAAATTATTATAAACACAAAGACGATGGATCTTAGCCATAACCGAGGCAACTACATAATGTCGTTTGGCAGCTGGAGATGTGCCATGTTCCTAGTCGATCACGTGCCTCAGAGAGGACGAGCCCACCCTGTGTCTAGGAGACCCTAACAAAGGAGAAGGGAGTTATATAGAGGTTTACTCGAAGACATATGTGGGACCTATGTGTTATTAATTAAACAGAATCTTTGAAGGAAAACATGATTTTATTTTTGCATTGGTCTCCAGGCACCCTGTCTGGGACAACATAAGGAGCTCAATGTCTTTTAGAGATCAAAGTCTAACTCTTGGATTTTGGTACCTGAAGATATTTCCTATGTGACTAGAAATATACATGAGATAATTAAGTAAGCTATCGAGAGTCTTTTTCTTAAAATCTCTTTAGGTGTTTTTCAACAGCAAAAATTTAAGGACACTCCATTTGTCCATCACTCTTTATAAGGAAGGATATGTTAGAAAATTTAAATGTGAGATATTAACCCCAAGGCAATTGTAATATGTTGAGGGACAGGGTACATAGGGAAGGTCATGGAATCATGGAGCTGGAATTGGAGATGATCCAGTAGATTTCCAAGTGTGACAGCTGAGCAGAAGCATCGGTGTCATCTGGGCATTTGTTTAAAAAGTAAATGACCAGACTTTCCTTCTAACCTGAGACCAGAAAAAAACTAGATGGTGCCCAGCTATATTTCCACCTGTTCTGAGCAAGGTCAAAATAGAAGGTCCTTGAGGGAGATAAAAATGGGAGAAAAATTCTAGGAAAAACCCCAAATTAGTCAAGGAAAAAAAAGAAAAGGCCAGACCTACTGGGCTGAGGAAGACTACAGGAATCCCTGCCAGAATCACATTAAAATAGCATTTGAATGTGACATTGAACCTATTTCTGCAGGTCATTTTTCAGCTAAATGGATGGATTTATAAAACAAACAGTATCACCCGTGAGTAATGTGCTATCTTATAGGATCGACTATATGAGACCAAGTTCAACATTTATTTACCCAGCAGCAAAGATGAGGAGGCAAGGAGAAGGGAAGCTAGATTAACAGAAACAGTACAAACAGAACAGAAATAATGAGAATGCTGACACACTGTGAAAATGTTAACCAAGGGTACAGAACAATCTGTTGAAGACATTGTAAAGCAGAACTGAACTTACTGTTAAACTTTCACCTAAAACATAGCAAAAATATTATTTTTTAAATTTGTTTCAGGCTTTTTCCCCGACTGACTAAAGTAGAAACACTGAGTTCAACCATTGAAAATGTAATCTATAACAGTTATTCTCAGGCATGCAGATGAATACATCAGGATCCATGGTGGGGGTGGGGGGTGCGGGGAACACTATCTAAAAACAGATTGCTTAGTGGGATCCACAGTTTTTATTTCAACTGGAGTTAGAAATTATACATTTATAACGGTCTCCCAGGTGAGGTGACATTGCTGGTCTAGGGACCATTCTTTGAGGACTGGTAATCTAGCCCAAACCAGAAGCTGACACAAGGGGAAGCAAGAGGCTCCAGAAGGTCATGGCCTGAGCCAAAAGGCACATCCCTGTGACTCAGTTTTGTCCAGAGTCGAGAACTCTATCCAATGTGATTTCTGCTGCCTCACATGCACCTAAATGCGCGATGTTTCAGCAGAGCACATCTTGAGGTCTACGCTTGAAACTGATCTTGTATTTCAGAGGTCTGTTATGGACGGTGGTTCTTTAGTTTGGATACTATGAATGCGGTTCAATTTTCAATAAAATCCTTCTTACCTCTGTCTTATTTTGTTCCCATCATATACTTTGATATTAATATTTGCTGTCATTCATTTCAATAATTTAGTATAATACATTCATTAGCCATGATAATTTAGTTCCAAATGTTAAAATCATCCTTGATGCATTTCAAGTTAAAAAAGATGTGAACAGTCAAAATGCCCTTCATTA